TAAAATATAAACGTGAATTTAAAAATTCCTATTTGGGACTAAAGAGAAATTATATTTGGGTTAGATTTTAACAGATCTTTTGTTTTCGCGTTGTGCGAAATGACCAAACTAGAGAAAGTTGAGCGAGAGAACTGCAGAGCGAACTGATTATTTCAATGAAAAAATTGACGAAATCACCAAAAAAGCCGCGCCGACCCTGCCAAGTATTGGCCAATCTCAATTACTTTTATACTTTGCAAAGACTATAAAGCGTATATTTAACACTCACCTTATGACATACCTACCTAAAATGGGATGACGTACTGAGCGTCGAATTATGGGTTCCGCCACGTCGTATTGCACGAGGATTGAGACTTGATATTCCAAAGGCTTTTGAAAGCTTTTAGAGTACGGTCTATCCCCTGGTCTGATCGGATTAGAATTTCTAAAATGTGATCTCAACATGAACTATAAACTATAATAAGCCTTTTCATATGATATAGTTTTTACAAGGTCCAATACGGGAACCTCAGCAAGGTACACGCTTAGTGAAGAGAGAGAATTATTTTAAAGAGCCAATTAGGATCTGCGTTTCTCTTTTCACAGATGAATTTTCTTATGTTCGATTTTTATAAAATTATTTTATTTTTGCGTAACAATTACTTTTTAACAAAATTAAAAATTCTGCACCGTCGGCTTAAAAGCTTAAGAGCTAAACAATTACTTCTTCCGTCGCTAGCTTTAAGCCTCGCTCACCTTATACTAGAACCAAGGTGTAATATAATCACTACGTTTTAGATAAAGCTTTTATTACATTTAGGAAATGCGTCTGCATAATGCTTTTATATGCTTGTATCACACGACGAAAACTTGAAAATATTTTGTTTATTGTTCTTTATTGTTTGTTTTATGGCAATTTATGCATTGCAAGCTACGTACTTACTTACTACTTGTGTTTTTCAATTATATTTTATTATAATAGGACTTAAAAAATGCTTATAATGGCTTTTTTTAACCAAATCAAAATATCTTCGTCAACTAACGGAATTAGGGGAGACTGGGGCTGGTAGTGACAGGGGTAGGTAGATACAGCGGCAACGGTGGCTAAACTGAGAACGCTGTATTGTCGTGAGAAAGATGCAAATGATCACGCGACCATCGGCTAGCACGCCGCCCGAAACTGTGGTGCCAGGGCTTTTGTGAGAGGTGCCCGTACATGTAGCCGTCAAAACCGCATGTTAGTAACATTTTCGTTTTTTCGTAATATTGTTCTAAAACCGCTTTTCCTTTAAAGCAGATATGTGTGTGTTGTGATATGGTGTGCCCTAATCCTTTCTTATTGCAACGAATTTACGTTTATACAGTTATACTTATTTGTTTTTTTACTACTTAACCTTAAAAGGTCAGTTTTGGCGTTGGGGCTAAAAGTGACATTTGCTCGGGGCAAGTTGTTACTTGTTACTACCTACCCGTAGTGCTGCTTGCCGACTGATATATTTGACTTATTTATTTTTTGCTAATGTAATTTTATTTTTTATTTTTTGTTCATCTTCAATTTATACTAAGCTTTTGTTTAATAAAGAAATTTATAATTTTCTGCCGGTTGGAAGTTACCTAAATTTTATTTTTATAAGGCGTAAGTCTAAAAAATAAGATTATAATTTTGTTCAACGAAGTTACTATGTTTTTATTTTAATGAGGCAAAAGACTATTATATAGAAAATATAGTTTGACATTGTATACGTAATAATTGTTACAAACTGTCATTATTCTCAATAAAAAGTGTTATATTACATTTGGTTTTTGTTGTAACATTTTGCCCCTTATAGTGTAACAACCAGCCCCTGGCGCGGGGCTAAAAGTTACACGCCTCTTTTCCCAGAATTAATTCATTTATGTCACTTCTAATAATCTGGTATCCAAAATTGTTTTTAAATTAATAAGCCGAATAATTACTTATTCAAACAAACCTACATTCCGGTAAAACAATCAAACAAACAAAAAATTGCGACACTTTATAAAAAAAAATGTCACAACCAGCCCCAGCCTCCCCTACTCACGAAAACGCTAAAAGTTGCTTTCTCTTGTTTAACTTAAGAAAAATAGAAAGATATAGATATATAGATAATTAAAACTTTAAGTTAAGTTTTAACCGATAAGTAAGCGATAACCATCGATTATGAGTAAGGCCGTAATTCTTCAACAGAGTAACATTTTGCCCCTGCTTCATAACAATAAGCCCCACGCAGGGATTAGTTGTTACTTTTAGACTTTTAGTACCTATACTTATAAAATATATTAGCGATCCGGCCCGGCTTCGTACGGGTGATTCCTGTATCGCGACAACAGCGCCACCTACCGGGTCCAACCAATTGTGAATCAAAGCCATTCTCGAATCAACTTAATCACAAACAAAATTTGATCAAATCGGTCCAGCCGTTTAGGAGGAGTTCAACATACACACGGACAGAAAAAATATATGTACCTATAAAGATGGAGATAAAAACTATCATGTATTATTTATAGTACCTGGATGACCGAGCTTTGCTCGGTTTTAATTAAAAAAAATTATGCAATTAGTTTAATTAAAATTTTCGTAATTTTAAAAAATACAAAAAAGGGGCTCGAAATAATAGATTTTCTCACAAAAGAAGGGAACTTGAAAAAAAAAGGAAAAAAAAACTCGGACCGAAGACAGGACGCGAACCAAGGCATTACGATTTCGCGACCGCTCGCTATCCACTTGAGCTGTCACGATCATTAACACAATGTCAAAATTTACCTTCTTATATTGAGCCAGTTTTTCATTGCCTGAAAACACGGACAAAAAGACATTTTCTAAAAATAAATCCTAGCTAGATCGATTTAATTCCCCCGAAATTCCCTGGACACAAAATTTTATGAAAATTGTTGGAGTTTGAAATTGCTCGTTTAAAGGTATAGGATTTTAAATGTGTCAAAAGTATCCAAATTTGGGATGTTTCAAACCTCTAAAAATTCATAACTCCGAAATTCATAATTATATCGTAAAAAGTCATAGGACCTTTTTTATTCGTATTACATCAAAGAGATATAAAAACAAAATCTTTTATTTTAAGAATAAATGTTTTTCTTTATATATTTTTAATGGGTCAAAAGTATCCGAATTTGGGATTTTTCTAACAACTCCGAAAATATTAACTTTAGCGTAAAAAGTCATACGACCATTTTATTTGTATTTCATCAAAGAATATAAAAAAAATCCCGTTTGAAAATAACAATTCCTTGCAATTATTAAAAAAAATCGGCAACATGCATTTATATCATCAGTAGGACAATTTGAAGAGAATCGTCTAAAAAAATATTGAGGTGGAATAGTTTTCGACACTCATGCGCCGATTCCTCCTGCGCTATGCCCTTATCTTCTATCTATACCGTGTCTATTAATAATAGTTTAAAATACATTTTGAATAGCACACTGACATTTAAATATTTTCTTGTAATCTGTAGGCTACAAAGAGATAAAGAGGTTTTTACTAACTTTGCCGATTTTATTATTTTTACCAATTCTGTAATTTGAAAAATAATCATTATGCTTGATAATGTTAGGAAGTATTTTTATAAAAATATTGCACATCATTTTTTTCTTTGCTTTTGTGAGGGTAGACATAAACAGAGCTAAATTGCGAGATTTATCATGCTCTAACTTAGAAAAAAGAACACTTAATGTTTAGCTGTTTTTCCTATTCGCCAGAAAAATTTAAAAACCTGTAATTCAACTAATGTGAATATCTTATTAATCTATCGTTGATGCATTCCTTTGATTATAGCGTTTATCGTACGTGTTATTCGATGGTTTTAATTTCGCAACCTACTCAAAAACATAAAGCGTATTTTAAAACATGCACTAAAGTTAGTTGCACCAGTCCCTACGTGCTAATGAATGTAAGTGCGTTTTAAATATACACAGCGCGAACGTTGTCGATGGAAGCGTATTGTTAGGCCTCATATAATAGCGGGGAATTCAATGAGTAATCGTGCCCGACTATCCAGTAAACCCACGTCTACGCGCGCGCCAGCCAGCGCGTCTCGAGCCGGCTCTGTGCTGCGCTGGTGAAAGGAACCAATGCACGAACACCGATTGCCGCAACTTTGCTAAAAATGGCGTCATTCATACATTTCGCAGTTATATTATATTAAATGAAAATACATTATTGACTACCGTATGCGAATTACGCACGTTTTGATGGAGGTTTGTTCAATCTGTGACTTATCGCTGAGGAAGAGTCCTTGAAGTTTTCAAACTTACCGATAAAGATACTATATTTTGTGTTTTATAATCTAATATCTTTAAATTTAGTTGCTATTACTAACTATATTTCACAATTAGAGTCACGATTTAACTTTGTCTCAGAAATAGCAGCAACGGCTATGTTGCGTTTATTTAATAAATAGTTTATTTCCGTTCGTTTATCAAAAATACTCCTACATTCCTTTAGTTGAATTGTTAGAGTATTTTTATATGCTATCAGATTGAAAAGGAAAATGCGGTTGCTACTTAGTATTTTAGGATTGTAGATTTACGAGAAGTACACAAAAATGAAGGAAAGTTCATATTATGTGTATATTTACATGTATTTATGTTAATAATTTTAAACATTGTTCTGTGGAGTTGCGCTATATTGTGCCCAAGCACTGTCGTTAAATAATGATTGATTTTCATTCGTTCGTAAACTGGTTTCCCAACGAGCCTAAAATGAATGCCTCATTTTCATAAAAAGGTCTTCCCCCTACCACGTAAATAATACAACTTGACACGATGTGCTTACTTTACCGTGTATTCTTTTTATTATCTAGCTTGGTTATTAATATTTTAAAAACATTCATCCCTTGTTCTTTTAACCAAGTTATTGCTGTTACAGTAAAATTAATTTACCAAGTATGCGTTACATAAAACCTTACAGGCCTTTCGGGGGTCGAGCGAGAACCATCTCAGAACTGTGCGACTTTGGGATTGCTAAAGTCCTGTTTGTTGTTTGCAGTCTCAATGAATGCTACTTTGCGAACAAGGGCGCTGCGCTGGTGTTGGGCAGCACGGAGTATGGGTGCGCGGAAAGCCGCCGCTTACCCGCGCCCCCGATACCCCAGCCCGATATACACCACCATCTGCGGGCGATGTTCTACCTCGTACGCCCGGAGGAGACGCTCAAAATGGTAAATACATGCCCTCCATAACTTACACACAACCTTATACCGATGTATATTTTAGCCATCTTTATTTAAACCAACACCTTAACTGTATCAATTCTCTACTCATGTAATACCTGTATCTGGAAATAAAATCAAGGTATTGTGCTATAGTTGTGCATAAGAAAGAAAATCATGTGTGTTTTTTGCCGTTGAAACCGGTAAAATAAGTTAATATACACACGTCATGATTTTAACATATGAAACGCTTCAACCAATTAAATGAAGGCATTTTGATCACGTTCATGACTGTAGTAGCCATGAAAGTAGAGACAAGCCCACCACGGGAAACCATTATAAACAGTTATTCAAACCAGTCTTTCACCAGCTTTAGGTTTTTTATAGAAGGGGCAAATAAACATGCGGCTCACCTGACTGATATGCGACTATAAAAGGTCCTTTGTCGGAAGTCACAGATTAGTACTTTAATTTACCACTTGTGAAGTTGTAAATTTTTGTACAAAAAGCGATAGCGTCCCCCGCCCCGCCCCGTAAATATAGTCAAATTTTCATAATTTTTGGAAATGTAAATGTTGTTTGAAAATATTGTGTTGTTTGTAAATATTATAAGCATCTTAATATCTATTTTTTTTTATTTCAAAACTTATTCTTTTAAATTAGTCTAAACTGAATTATTTAAAAAAAAACCTACAGATCCATATGAAAGGATACTGAATATAAAGAGATGAAAATTGTCTCTCGAAACAATATTTCAAAAAGGAAATGTAAGCAACTGTTTTCAAGATTTGCAACTCTCTCTTTCGCACATACTGCGATACGTAACAAGCGGTATGAAACAGATATATTTTTGAAAATACCTAATCGTGCCGCGTATAGGCACTTCACAATACTCTTAATGAGCTCAAAGCCGATACCCTGCAGAATTGTTGTTTGTTCACCTTTTTATAGAATAAGGGCGAACGAGCGCATAATCCACCTGATGGTAAGTGAATGATGTGGCCCATAGTAATCTACATCTATCCTCGATTAAGAGTCCCTTAAGGATTAAGATGGAACGCCTTGTTTTCAGTAAATAGGGTCTTCGGTTCTCTACACTCACAGTACGGAATATAACAGTATTATGCTGCTATTTTTATATGTATTCTGTTGACTACCTCATTGGTCTTAGTGGTTGTAGTAGTACGACTGCTTCGACCCCCCCATGGTTCGAATCCCGGGTCGGGCCATAAAAGCAATTATTGAGTTTTTACGTCAAGAAATTCTCAGTAGCTGCCCGGAGTTAGGAAGTTGGCGGTGTCTCACCGCCGTGCCTCGGAAAGCACGTAAAGCCATTGGTCCTGCGCCTGACCTCTCTCCGGTCGTGTCGGTTTACCGTCCCATCGGATTATGAGAGTGAGGGAATAGAGAGTGCACCTGTGCTTACGCATACACTTGGGCACTATAATCCTGTCCTGCGCCGATGGCTAGTCTCCGATGAGGCTGGCCGCCGTGACCGAAATTCGGTCTGGAGGACATTATTATTATGCATTGAATGTCCTTTCTCAGTCGAGCTGACCCATTAGTACTGCAACTATAATATAGCTGCGGCATGCCTCTACCGGTTAATAAAATCTATATTAAAATTCCCTATCAAAATCTCTATTAAAATCCGAATTATGTTTTCTCCTACGAATATTAGTTTTAATAAAATTCTTCGCGATTTCACTCCTAGATAAGAAGTTATTCTGTGTTTAACATGTACGCTTTTACGTTTTCAACAATAAGACTTCATTGCCTTTATTATTTTACATTATGACGTCTTAGCTATCCAAGGAGACGCTCAAAACGTTACACATAAACGACATGGTTCGGTGATCGTAAAGTACTATATTTCATAGTATAGTATTTATAGTATTGTAATACATTTTATTTTCCGTTTATATTACACCAAGTAATGTCAACTTTTAAGATAATAATATTACTATATTATACGAGTTTTAGAATTTTGACATTTAGGATATAAAAGCAAAATTTTTTTCATACTAATTACAGTATTCCTAGCACAGTACTCGAAAATATAATAAATCGAGATCGTTTAAAAATATCTAAATAGAGAGTAGATTTGAAATTTTAACTTCCTTTTGTATATAAATAATATTTTTAGCTACACCAAGCAATGATCGCAAAGTTTATTTCACGTGTGATGTAGTAGTAGCACACACACCGTTCGTATGCAGTTACAAGATCTGTAATTAGAATTAAAGAAGAACTCATAAATTACTTCTCATTACATCTTTACATTACATGGGCATTTACATTACAGGTGCTGCGCTTTTATTATCTATTAGGTACATAATAAATAACACACTATAAAAGAGGCCACAAAGTTATTTATTTTTATGGAAGCTTACTTGTAGTGATTGTTCTGTAGTACACATTAGAGATTAAATTAAAAAAAAGAACAACAATTACTGTAAAAATATTAATAATAAGAATATATAATAAGTTATAATACATAAAATTCGGGATGTAAATACCAGCGGTCTAAAAAAGAAGTATAATTCCGCCTCCAGGTCCTTCAAAAGAGTCATTGCCAAGGTAAAGTCAGAGCACATAGGGAGAATTGGCGAGAAACTAGTTCGCCTTCCTTCTGGAACCCGTGCATTCTGGTCTCTCGCCTGGCTGTTCAGGGGAATTTCTGTCAGCTATCTCTTCCATCTCTGCACAGGGAGGACGACTCACTGGCCCATTCCGCAAAGGAGAAAGCCGATCTGCTAGTCTCTTTCTTTGTGTCCAACTCGACTCCCGATGACGGGGGTAGTACGCCGCCGACAATCCTGCGGTGTGAGTGCTCCATGCCGGAGGTGCGGTTCACACAGCACTCGGTTCGCAAAGCACTCCTCTACCTGGACATCCACAAGTTGAGTGGGCCTGACGGAATGCCCCCAATTGTGCTGAGGACGTGTGCTCCAGAGTTGGCATCGTTTTTAACGCGTCTTTTCCAGTAATCCTACTCTTTAGGCGTAGTCCCAAAATCGAGAAGACGGCTTTCGTGCACCCGATCCTTAAACAGGCGACCGTTTAGATCCGTCCAACTACAGGCCTATCACCATCACCTGCTTGTTCTCCAAAACAATGGCGTCCATTGTAAACTGCCAACTCATGAGGTACCTTGAGGATCACCAGCTGATTAGTGATCGCCAATACGGTTTTCATCGTGGTTGTTCAGCTGGTGATCTGGTCTACCTGACTCCTAGATGGTATGGTATATGGATGGAGGCAGTAGAGTCCAAAGGGGAGGCATTGGTCGTTAGTTTGGACATTGCGAAGGCCTTCGATCGGGTTTGGCACAAACCGCTTCTTTCGGAGCTCCCTTCCTATGGGCTTCCCGAGAAATTGTGCAATTGGATCACCAGCTTTCTTGCAGATAGGAGCATCAAGTCATTGTAGACGGTGCAAGCTTCAATTACAAGTCTATTAATGCTGGCGTTCCACAAGGCTGCGTGCTATCACCAACGCTGTTTCTACTGCATATCAATGATATGTTGCAAACCCGTAACATTCATTGCTATGCAAATGACAGCACTGGTGATGCTCTGTACACCGGCGTGCCAATATTTCTCGGGAAAACGTCTCCGAGTACCGGGACAAACTTGTGTCCGAAGTCGAGTCTTTGCTGAACAAAGTCTCGGATTGGGGCGACTAAATCTAGTCCAGTTTAACCCTCAGAAGACACAAGTTTGCGCCTTAACCTCTAAAAAGAACCCCTTTGTCGTATCTCCTCAGTTTCAAGGCACTCCCCTTGTTGCCTCAGCCTGTATCGGAATCCTCGGCGTCGACAAATCGAGTGACGTGCAGTTTCGTGGTCACTTGGAAAAGAAGGCCAAATTGGCCTCTAAAAAGCTTGGCGTGCTCAGCAGAGCGGGACAGTTTACCATCGACGATTTTTCCGGACCGATACGACCTAGTGACCTTCAAGAAAAGAACTTACTCCTTTATAAAGGGCCGGCAACGCACCTGCAATTCCCCTGGTGTTGCGGTTGTTCATGGGCGGCGATAGTCACTTAACAGGTGAACCGTATGATCGTTGCCCCCTCTTCTATAAAAAAAGAATAATTGAAAACGCCAGATTAATTTAAGAAGAAAAGAAGAATACATATATAGTTTTAGCAAAATGATTTAAGTTGGAACGATATAAAAAATGTTGTGAAGTAAAATGAAAACACAAACATTGAGTTCAAAATTCAAGACATTAGTTTTGAGGGGTAAAACGAGAAGTAAAAGATTTACAGATACACCTTCGTGTGAGGAGGATACGAGGGGCGTTCAATGTATTCTCGGTATTAGGGTGATTTGCTGATAATGTGAGCAATTAAAAAAATCAGTAGCCAACGATTATATATATAAATATCAAATTTGAATCTTGAATTTGATTGCTCAAAACCACGATTGTATAATTTTGACTCGATCATAATTATTTGCGAAAACACCTCTAAAAAATCACAAAAATCCTAATCTTTGGAAGAGGGCTTTTGTAAAGCCTCTCCCAAAAGTTCCTACTCCCATTCATCCCAATCATTTTCGTCCAATATCCATTCTACCCTTTCTTTCCAAAATTTTAGAATCCTGTGTTTACAAGCAAATTTCTACTTTTATTTCGAAACATAACCTACTGAGTATATATCAGTCTGGGTTTCGTCCTGGTCATAGTACCACTACTGCATTAATTAATGTTATTGATAATATTAAACAAGGCACGGAAGAAAAAAAATAACAGTACTGGTACTAGTTGATTTCTCAAACGCTTTCAACACAGTTGATCATGAAATCCTTCTTTCCATACTGTCTCATCTGAATTTTGGCCCTACTGAATTGGATTGGTTTGCATCTTATCTTCGCGGTCGACAGCAGTCAGTCAGTGTGGGGCAACTGTCCTCAGCTTGGGTTGATGTGGATGCTGGTGTGCCGCAAGGCGGTATTCTTTCTCCTATAATGTTTTCAATTTTTATAAACTTTATTACCTCCATCATCGACTGCTCGTACCATTTATATGCCGATGACCTTCAGCTTTATGTGCAAACTGAGATTGGGGATATCCATAATGGGATCAATAACCTTAACGGCAACTTAGCAGCTATCAAGGATTGGTCTACTCGTTATGGAGTTTTGGTCAATCCTTTGAAATGCCAAGCTATACTGGTGGGTAGCTCAAGGATGCTGGCTAAGATTAATCTGACAGACTTACCTCCTATTTACTATGATAATACCACAATTCCTTTCAGTAATTCTGTTAGAAATCTTGGCCTTCACATCGACAGCACGCTGAATTGGAGAACTCAGGTTTCAGATGTGAGTCGTAAAGTCACTGCCACGTTATGCTCTCTGTATCGTTTAAAACATTTTCTTCCCACAAAATCTAAGATCATGCTTGTCCAGTCACTTATATTACCCATAATTGATTATGCAGATGTGTGTTACCCAGACCTGTCCCATGATCTTCTGAACAAGCTGGAACGCCTCCTCAATAACTGTATAAGATTTATCTTTGGGCTTCGTAAGTATGATCATATTTCTCAATACAGATCTAAGCTAAATTGGCTTACAATCCGGCAGAGGCGCAACTCCAGAATATTACTTGTACTTTTTTCCATATTAAATGATCCATCTTCGCCTTCTTATCTTAAGAGTAAATTTCATTATCTTTCTTCATCTCATGATAGGGTCCTACGCTCTTCTTCTAATAACAAAATCTGTACTCCAGTTCACTTCACCGAGTTCTATGGTAACTCCTTCACAATTCAGGCTACACGCCTTTGGAACTCCTTGCCCGATAACATCAGAAAAGCTCCCAATAAGTACGCTTTTAAAAAGTTGGTCCGTGATCATTTCTTAAAGACAATGCATTTTACATGACTCATCTATTTAATATGTATTGCCAAACAGACGTATATATTCATAGTCATTTGTATATACTAATTATGTATGTATTTAAATATATATACTTGTATGTATATTCATTTATTTATATATTTGTATATATGTAAGGATAGATCATATATGTATAGTTTATTTATTAGTAGTTTGTATATATTATATAGTTAATTATCATTTGTATAGTGTTCTCTTATTGCCACACCTACATCAAATTCTCACCACTCCATGGGTTGACTGGTAGAGAATGCCTCAAGGCATTAAGTCCGCCCTTTGTATTCTTTTGTTTAAGGATGCAATAAAGAAATAAAATAAATAAATATAGTTGAAATTACAACGAAATCATTTGATCTATATGCTTGGGAATCACTCAAATATATTCATAACATCAATATTCATAATTTACTTGCTCATTATTTTGATAACTTAAATCAATAATTTTTTTTAAAATATTTTAAGATTCTGACAATTTCTAAGCGCTTTTAATCGTCGCGGGCGCTACGCAATTTTAGACCTTATGACGGCGTTTCTTCAAGTTTTTATAGAAATTATGTATTCACTCGGATCAGTACGGCGATAGCGTTTTCGATGTGTCGTCTTAAAGAGCATTTTTCAGGCCAAGACAAAGAATATTTTTTTAGGGAATAGAAAAGCTTTTTCTTTTATATTGAGAAATAAAAAATATTTCATAATTTTATCTTTTTTCTAACATACCGAGAGTACATTGAACTACCCTCGTAGTTTCGTTTTAGGTACCGCACAATCTCAATGCTCGCCGATGCTCAGAAGCAGGCCTGCGTGGAATGGTGCTGTTACGTCAATACTAAATTTAAGCTCAGGCTCGTCTCGGCGTTGTTACGACATTATTACAGGTGATGAATCAAAACGATCCAGAAACAAAGCGCCAGTGGAATGATTTGGCTGTTTAAAAATGCAATAACACTACCAAAGTCAGGCGATCGAAAAGCGAAGGAAAATTTTGTTTGTCAGTGTACCTATCTAGTATCTGTTCCTTTACGAAATCGAAGTTGCATCAATGATGTAGTCAAAAAAATTTGTCTGAAGTTTGTGTGCTGTAACCATAAAGCGACCGAACACTGCTCCAGAACTATAAGTACTGCTTCACCATGAGCCATGATAACGTACCCGCACACTCGATGCTCAAAACAAGGGCTTAATAGAACTTATTCTACTTCCTGAACAGAATAGAATAGAATAATTTTTATCCAATATAGATTACAGAAATACTTTACTATTGGCTAGGAAAAAAATTTGTCCTGGAAATAGCCACCAGAAACCTAGCGGAACTTTTTAAACATCGATTTTAAATTATTATGCTGTACAATTAAATATGACAATTAGAACAGTGGAGTATCGATCATAACATTCCCAGTAGTCCTGATTTTGCTCCGTGTGTCTCCTTTTTATTCTCTTCGTTAAAAATAAAATTTACTGAACAGGATTCATCTTCGGAAGCGGCGCTATTAGCGTACGGGCGTAGAGGCAAGGTGGGAAAAGTGTTTCGAAAATTTGTTCAAGCGCATAAAACTGCGTAACTGCCAGAGTTCTTCGAAAATATTTAATATTGAAAACCTTAGCTAAAGAATTTTTTTAAGTTTTGCACAACTTTCTGTGTGCCCCACGTATAAGGTAAAGACTGAACGGATATTATTAAAATTGCCCTATAATTGCATTTTGATTTTAATATTTTACAAATTACCTTAAATACGAGCTTCGCAGCTTAGGATTTTGCGGGAGTCAAGTCGGTTTCCCTCGGCCCATTGCGGCCCATCTGGTTGCCCTGCTACTACCACGCTTAGCATCGTCACTACACGATCACAAAATATAGAAGGGTAGTATAAATTGGCAAGTAATATGTTTAATAAACAATAGCTAATGATAACGTATTCCACTCGTACTTACTTACTCGTAACTCCACAAGTTTTAGCGTAAAGTCCTCCTGATCGAATATTTGGTCACGCACGACAGGAATATAGGATGCGAGTAGGTACGCAAACACAGGTGCACTCTATTCTCCCACTCCCAAAGTTCAATGCGACGGAAATCTGACACGACGGAAGAGAAATCAGGCGCAGAACCAACGGCTTTTCATGCTTTCCAGGACATGAAACACCGCCAACTTCTTGATTCCGAGTTGCTTCTGATAATTTTTGACAAAAAAGCCCTATAATTTTTTGATCCGAGCAGAGAATCGGACCCTAAATCTCTAATCTCAATAATCTCTCGTCTAAATAAAATAACTGCCTTCTTGGTCTAGACCAGTTATTTTATTTAGACGCTTAGAGCCGTCAGTTTCTTTTCCATATTATTCTCGAGTGTTTATAATGGCTAATAAAATTTATTGGATTTTAATTTTATTCTGCACAAAAATTTCATTAAATGTTAGAATAATGATAGGCACAATTATTATTTGTGTCGTGGCAGCTGGTCATTTATATGCATTATTTAAACTGTTCCACTTGATTTCATGCATTGAATCACCCTTTAAGACGCGCGAGGCAGGAATGGCAGCTGGTGCATTTTTTTATTCCAGATCAACACTGGAACAATTAGGTTAAAGCCAAGAGAAACGTTTTGATTGTTACTTTATGTAATTGGGATTATATAATGCTGGTGCTAGGCGGTGAAACTGGAGAGCGCCCACGCGGGTCGCACGCGTTATCTGGTGGTAGTGTGCCGGAACGATGAGGCGGCGTTACTCGGCATCGACTGCAACGAGAGGATCACCGTGGGGCTGGTATTGCGAGTGCTCGCCGACACCTCCATCAAGTTAGACGGCGACGGGTAAGAAATTTTAAGGTATTATGTGTTTAAAACTAGAGTATAATTTATGTAGAACAGCTTCAATAAGCTTGGTGTAAAGTAAGTTAGTCGATTTATAAGTATCTAATCATCACAAGAATTCTTATGAAAGATAAAACGGTTATCACAATGATTTTAACACTAGTTTTGAGAGTCTGTTAGGAGCCGTGGTAGCTCAGATGGTTAGTGCCCGCTGTAAATTTCACAGTGTGCAAGCAACTCAGATTCGTTTCTCGTCGGCACTACCACGTGATCTGTGGTGAAGGAAAATATCGTGAAGAAACCTGCACGTCTGAAAAATAAAAAGAAATATTTCGAAGACATGTGAAGTTCGCCAACACGAATTGGGGCACCGAGGCAGATACTTCCTTGCCCTCCTAAAGCCCTCTCAGAAATGAGAGGAGGTCTGTGCCCACTAGTGGGACTTACGAGTATGTATATGGGCTGTAACTTTAACTTTTATAGAGTATGTTAGGAAAGAGATTCAGGTTAAAAAATCGGGTTAAAAATCTAGATTATAAAAATAAATAATCCTACAAAACTTGGTGGAAAAAGGGCAGTTAATCACATAAATAATCTATTTTATTTTATATAATCAATAATTTTAATTAATATTTTAAGACTGCTTAATGACAAGATCACACAGCCCAATCTAAAAAAAAGGCTTCTTAGACAGTAGACATTCAAGTAAGTCCCGGTTCTCATTCCGAGCAGACCGTAAGACATATTACAATGTTACACGTTAGTGTACGTTCAAACAGTCGTCCTAACTTACTCGTGTCCAATGTAATACTTATGCGATAAGATTGGACGTAGACTAATGCAGTGCTAGATGCGGGACCGATCATAGTACATGACTCAAAAACCGAATATTAATTTTGAACCATGTAAATTACTCTCAGTCATCACTTTTTGTGTTCACTTAACCACATGGTCGTCATAATTTAGATAACATAGTTACAGAATTAGAAAAATGATGATAATTCCTACGAGTCAATGTGCTATTTTTGTTGTTTCTTTTATTATTTTAAAGAAGGTCTACGGTACTAAAATATCTCTTACACATTATATAAATTGTACAAAACAAACATTCAGACTCGGAACAATTATTCGTAGATCATATAAACATTTGTTTAGCGCGGGATTCGAACCAGCAACAAATTACGCTTAGCCACTGCGTTAACGAATCGTCAAATATACGTAAATTTATGGATGAAATTTAACAGATCGCAAATTGTCCTAGATGGTATCAGGAAAACTGGGTCTTGCCATTTAACGGTTTTAACATTACTCACACCCATTGCCAATATCTTCGTTCGCTTATGAATACACACTGTAGCAGCCTTCACGTGTGACGCCGATATTATCATACCCGACACTCGGAGAACAATTACAAGAAGCTACTTAGCTGACTGTATTCTCGGGTGAACTATGAACAATAACTTATTAAGGATTCATTGTCCGCAGAGGGTTTAGCGTATGTGTGTGCAACCGACAACACATTTTCAAGCCTGTGTCTGTGCAAGCAATGTGGTAAGTGTGACTTGATTATAAAATTTTAACTGTTCTTGAGGACTTGTCTTTATTTATAACATAACATAACATAAACACTCACGCCTGTCACCCAGAGGGGTAGGCAGAGACTACGGACTTCCATTTGGCACGATCCTGACATACCTCTTTCGCCTCCTTTACATCCATATATCTACGCATACATGCTCGTCGGTTAAGGGTACTTCTAACGTGGCCCCTTTCAAAATATCGCCAATTTGGTCGATAAACTTTTCGACTCGGCCGTTCACATCTGCCATATAAATTTGCTTTGTCACTCTTTCCTCATTCATTCTTTCTACATGACCAAACCACCGAAGCATTCTTTTCTTAATCCTGGTCACAACATCATCTTGCATACCACATTTATCTCTTATCACGCAATTTCTCACCCTGTCATTCAGATTCAACCCTAGCATACTCCTTAAAGACCGCATTTCTACAGCATTTATTCTAATTTCGTGCTTCTTCTGCCACACCCAGCTTTCACTACCATAAATTAAAGTAGGGACTAACACAGCATTATGAATTACCATACGTGCCTTTTTTGACACATTCTGGTTCTTCACTTTATTTATAATAGCCATTAATCCCATGAAAACGCAAACCATAATCGTTGGTAGTTCTAGAATAATTGCTACAGTTTAATTTCGTCTACCACCTATTTTTCCTTACCTAACAGTTCTTTTTATTATTTTAATTTATCAAGTTATTAATTCAACGAAGACGAATATTAAATTTAATGTGGTGATTGCTACTGGCAGAAATATGTTTTCAGTTTCATACTTCAGAGTATTATTCCCTTCTCCTGCTAAAGTTTCTCAATCTCTACTTCTGCCCATCTATGTTTATATATTTGCCATCTTGACAACACAAATGAATATGCTTTTGTTATAGTTCATAAAAGATAGCTTGATCTCTGCGACAGCTGTCAGTAAAAATCACGCCTATGAAGTCCTGAATTTCTTAGTAGTACAGACAGTACCTGTCAATGTCATACTTTATGGGCATGCCGACCTAATTAGTGCATGCCCATAAAGTATGACATATATGAACAAAGTATATCATTTATGAACTATAATTTCAAACGGTTAGTTAGTTACGACTCATGATTAGGGTTCCGTGCCCGAAGGGTAAAACATATTAATAGCACTCTACTGTCTGTCTTTCCGTCTGTCCAACTGATTCTCAAGTAGAAACTTTTTTAACAATTTTAAAGAGAGACCGTTCTGAAATTTTGAAGCGATTTTCAATCCTTTGTTGTTTCTTATATAGACCTCGATGCAACTTAAAAGCAATTTGGTATCCTATATTAATTGCGATTAAAATGATAAAAGTTGAAATGCCTAAATGATATCAAAAATATAACCATGAAACGTCCCCACAATATGGTAGTTAATTTTCAACTCTTACACTGTCGTTGAAGTTTACTTTCATCGATTTTTAGCAAGTCAGTGAAGAATATACTCACACAGCCCTTCACAAGTCCACTGCTAAACATAGGCCTCCCCCAAGGTATGCCACATAGCACGGTCCTGAGCCACCTTCATCCATCGACTTCCTGCATGTCTTACCAGGTCGTCACTCCATCTATTGGGGGGGGGGGGTCGCCCTACACTTCGCCGACCGGTACGAGGCTGCCACTCGAGAACCTTTTTTCCCCAACTGTTGGCGGTTCTTGGAACTATATGGCCGGCCCATTGCCACTTCGGATTATACTCAATTAATTTATAAAAATTATGGTACTGAAATATTATGTTGGGAAATTCATTAAACTGTGGAAACGATATTCTGGAGAAATTATGTACCTCTAAGTTTATAAAACATCAATAAAACATCAAAATATACGCTAACGGCAGTCCTCGTGTGATGAGTGCGCGATGCATTTTGAAGCGGCTGTGGCTGAACAATAAAGTGCGTGGGTTGCAGGTCGGCGCTGCAGACGCTGCACCGCGCCAGCGGGCGCGCGCGCGAGCTGAACCACTTCGCGGGCGGCGCGTCGCACGGTTGGTGCGCGTACTACGAGGCGCGCGTGGACTCCGACCGCTCCTGCCTCAACGAGTGGCACGCCATGGACTGCCTCGAGTCGCGCCGCCCGCCCTCGCCGGACTCGCTCAGGCACAAGTCAGTCGCGCCTTTTCATTTATTTGTAATAATTACATACATAATACTATAAAATTCCAGATACTATTACTGCTGATCTGCCTGAAGAAAAATGGAAGGAAATTCGCAGACATCAAGAATTGTGCACCTGATTGCGCCTATATTTTTCAATAAACTTACGACAACGGTTGTTTTGAAATTTAGAAGTTGAACCCGGTACAGTTTCTTAGGCCTTAGCCTATTGTATTCTAGTACGGTAGTGTTTATGGCGGTGTAAAAATATCCATTACCCCTTATCGTCCCCAGAGTGTCGTAAGAGGCCTCAGAAGGAAAATGAAACAGGAGATGGGCAGCGGCATTTTCCCGATAACAAATCAAAGTAATATAAACTGCGGTTGCTAACCCGCTTACCAAGCGTGGCGACTATGGCAAAATTCCGCCATGAGACATAGGGTGCGTTTAGCAGAAAAAAGCGTTAGGAAGCGCTTGTGAGCAAAATGGCGAAACTAAACAGTTTTCGGCCAGGACACGTTTGCTAACTTCAGTAGCGCTGACACAATCCGCCATTTTGCTTATTTACTTTGTTTGTTTTGAAGTAGTTTATAAGTTGTTTTGTGCAATATTAGTTTCAAGTAATAAGTAAATGACATGAATAAACATATTATACGTGCTATTAAAAATTCATGATTGGTAAGTTTTTAATTTACATACCCTCTCAGTAATGAGGGGAGGCCTGTATCCAGCAGCGGGACGTATATAGGCTGTGACTTTAGGTTTTTAATATGAATACTTTAAAAACATATATTTAAAATTAGGATAGGTTCCCCGGTTAAAGCTAACTTCGTGTCCTAGAGGAAAATAGCTACTTACGATTAGACAGCGCTTACCGCTTACGATCGCCATTTTGCTTACAAGCGCTTCCTAGCTCTTTTTTCTGCCAAACGCAGCCATAATATGAAGAAGGCCTATGTTCATCAGTGGACTTTTATAGACTGTAATGGTGCTACGTGCGTCTCGTAAAACATCAATATTAATTACAATAAATTTGTTTACATTTGAAAAGCTAACCGTCTCATTTGAAAACAGTGAAGTTTTATTTCTATCGGTATTTTAGATTTAAGGTTAAAGCTTGAGCTCTCCCGGCTAGGATGCATAGTAATTGGTTTTTTATGTAAAGCGTTCGATCTAATTTATTCAATGATGGTTTCGAGCTATTATGATATAATTTCTAATTAAAACAAACACCACGCGAGCAAATTCTCGTAGGAGCTACCTATTACCAAACTAAACGATGTCGATGCTCCGCAAATTCTACGTGAATATTGCGGCTTAGATAACTCAGACGTACACTAAGTATGCAGGTCAGAAGCACCTTAAACGCAGGTTGCTCATCTATTAGATGCCACTGTTACGTTGCCCTGTGTCTAATTAAGCCACATGCTTCTTGGCTAGCGAGGCAAACATCACTGAAACAAGAAACATGTTGATATTGCGTTCGGTCGTTTCTATCTTTACCAGCTTTTGTACTTTAGCTTAGTCTCTACTCTGTCTATGTACTGGTATAGCTTCTTTTCTGCCTTCGAATTCGTAGCAGCGGGATACTGCCGCGTTTGAACGCGAAGAATGACGGTACAGTTACTGACTCTGGGTTATTCCATCTAAATTCTGATTGGTGACAACGCGTCTACGCTTTTAAATTGGTTGTAGGTGTTCATGGTCCATGTACACCATCATGTGGACAAAGCTTGCTCACTCTGATTCTTAGCTTGTTTGTCACTCTAATATTATTGAAAGAGCCTTGGTCATGATCCTTCCAAAGGTCATAATGAAACAAGTGACAATTACATACTCTTTATTTACTGCTTAAATTCATTATGTATGCCCGATGAGCTAGCTGGGTGCTATCACATTTGCTAGGTATTTTGAGCTTTGAGTAAGTTTGATCTTAACTAATAGTAATATTTGACAAGCAAACATACAAATGTCTCTTGGCTGACTCTTACTCAGAATTTAGTTGTCTTAATATTATAATTATCTACAGTATAAGTATACTCGTAGTTCTAATATGGAAAATATGTTTTTCTTTTATTTAAATTTGACTTTGAATTTGTATATCTATTTTTTATTCGATGCTATAACAAAAAAAATATTTTTGAAAAATTCAAAAGTGCACATCTCGAACGCTCAACGCGTTTTGAATAATCGATTTACTTTTGTTAATTACCGAAACACGTATTTCTTTTAAAGCTACAAGAAAAAAAGTCTGTTTAATTAACACGAATTCTTTTTAACCACTAACCGAGTGCTGCTACCGATAATTCGTATTCTGTTCGAAAAAATTGTCAAATATTAATGAACAGGTCAGTTGACAATAGTGAAATTCAAAAGGCTTGCTAAGGATTAAAATCTTAAGTTAATAAAAAATATCGTAATGATAAGTTCAGTTTTTCGAAAAATGTCTGGTTCACATCCATGCCGACCAACTGACATCCAAGTGAAATTATTTATATAATAAACTTTTTTTAAATACAGTGCAATCTTGATACAACGAAACTGAAGGAAATTGGAAAATAAAATGAGGTTTGTTATAGACAGGTTAGATGGGACTACGATTCCTTTTAACAAGGTAAGAAAACTGATTATTCACCTCAATATTACGTAAATACTCTGTTTACCCTGTTAAAGCGAACGATTTCCACTTATAAATGAAAACACCATAGAATGCTATAATACATAATAGAATGGCTGTCAACCTTATTTTGTTCGAGAATCGGTGTCGCCGGGAGCACACGTACAAGCGGTTACTTTGTATAATCGCTACTAGAAACCTTATTCGCTCGCCACCAATGTCATACAAATTTCAATAAATAAATGTTACAAACGCTTTTTTAATATTACATAAAACCAGACTATTTCAAGGCAATAACAACGGATTCACAACGAATCTTTACAGATCGTGTCTTTCTGAAAAGAAAGAGAAGGAATAACTGTGTTGATAGACTGAGCGAATTTACACATTTTAGACTTTTGATCGATGTCCACAATCATCATTTAAAGAAGGAAATTGCTTAAATTTTAATCCATATTTATTTGTTAATAGCGTGAAAAGAAAAAGTACTATTTTTTCATACTGTAAATAAAATGTTTTTGAACACGTTTAAGATGCGAAGCATTATAATTAGTCTGTGCATTAATCAAACTGTAGTATGTAAAGGTATCACAGCTTTGCTTTGTCAAATTTAGCTTGATAATTTTGACAGCTCATCACGCCTATGAAGTTTCGTATTTTTTTTAGATAGACTGTCATACAGATATTGTTGTACTTCATGGATGGGTATCGCCCACTTACGATAGTGATGTGCCACGCTAAACTATGCGATGTCATAACGAACAACCATAGACTATCAAAAATCGGTTTTGAAATAAGTCGAATATATAAAAATCTTATCATCAGAGTACTGTTGTTTTTACACTTATTTCTCTATTTTTGTTTCTAATATTCACAAAATATAAATAGTGTCAATTTACTGGTGAAAGGATATATCACTTTTATTCAAATACCACATCCGGCTGATTTTCAAACACGTAATTATCAGCAACGCTTAACACCAAAATTGGGCAACAACTGTGACGTCTAGAGAGATGTGTTGACATTTATAGGTGTGAATTGACATGTTAGTGGCTACACGGGTACCGCCCACTCCCCCGTTCTATTGTGTATGTATTATAATATTCTGTGGAAAATATACTTGAATAGAAATACAGTATTTCTTATTTCTGTGAAAATAGAAATTAATAAACAATAAACAACTGTCTTACTAAGAATTTGACATGTCTGAACCTGTCAAGATATGATTTATTGTTGATTAAAGTAGGAATAATTGATAGGATACGATATGTCAAGGTTCTAAGTTGAAAAAAATCTTAGGTAAATAATACCTCCTATCTATATTCTGCAATGATAAAAATGGCGTTATAAGAGGTTTTTGATAAATGTATTCGTAAAGGTATGTGGCCGATGAAGGAAAAGGGGAGATTTCCCACCGGGCAAGGTGTTATGCCCGGGGAGCGGCCAACGCTCCGTGTGATAGTTTTTTTTTGCGCCCGAAGCAATTAAAGGGCTACCCTATACGTAGGGAGGCGGAAAATGCATTACGCATACCACGATAGCCGGTCTATCGTGGTTATGAGGGGGCTCACTGTCCTACCGGGGACCCTAAGTGATACCCTCTAAAAACCGCTTTTGGGGACAGGCAGCCGGCTGATTAAGCTCTATTGTGCCTTATCATGAGCGACCCTCTTTTGGGAAAAGAGGGTGCAGGCGGCTACGAGCCGCTGAGGGAGTGCCTAGGAAGGCAAATTAAAGTTGGTTAATACAATAATTTAGTTTAATTAGAGTTGGCCTGAGCCGCCAGGAGACAGTTCAGGTCGTTTGACAGTTTATTAGGCGGGTCCGAGAGAGAGTTTCTCGGCCTGCGGACACGATAGCGAGAGGGCGGTGGGGCTGCATAAGAAGCTGCCTCACGAATTAAGGCCGTGTGATAGTTCGGAGCTGTTCTATATATACTGTTCATGATTCGGAATGTTGATAGTGCGATTTATGCTTCGGTGTGTTTCGGTGTGCTAGTGGCGCGACGACAGCGCCGCTACAGGTATATTTTGCATTAGTTATTACGAGCAGTTTGAGCAGAGGAATTCGTTTTATTGAGGCTCGTTATATCAAGGTTACACTATATTAATCGAAATAATAATCTATAACTACGTTAGTAGTATGAATTGAATTCTTCTCTTGCTATTGGTGTATTTTTTATTATATAAGTGCAATATAAAGCTGGTGGAGGTGATTTGAGTGGATCGCGATTTTTTGATTGGGTGACAATAGAGCACTATACGCGAAGCGGAGACTTCGCGTTCGATGTGTGCAATAAAAAGTAAAAGCCGACTTGAAACAAATAAAAAGTAATATTCTGACTGGTGCTAAGACATAAGAAGTCATTTAATTATTTTTTGTTCTTTGAATC